TTTTACATTGACAAACCTCTGAAACCCTAATTTAGTAACTTCTCACACTCTTGATTCTTCTTGAATTTATCTTGAAATAACATCTTAGATGCCTCAACACAACTTTCCATGACTCTAAAGACTTAAAGCCAAGTCTTAATCTCCTTCAAATCCTCAGTTGACTTTGCACCAGGCAAATGAAACCCTAGGTGTACAATCCTCTGACTGCAACCTCTTGCACATGATATAACCACTTGCATAAGCTCCACAATGGCTCTCAAATCACTCAATGAGCTTCATAACACCTCATACCCATGCCAATGAACTCATGATCCTCTGATGATCTTCAATTAGCCTCCAAGATAGGAGATATGCAATACACATCCATTCATTGTCCCAAACACCTCATACCCATGACAATGAACTCATGATCCTCTAATGATCTTCAATTAGCCTCCAAGATAAGAGATATGCAATACACATCCATTCACTGTCCCAAAGAGCTCTGACCAGCTTCTAATGACTTGATGAGTACTCATGCTTGCTTGAAACCTTTGACAAACCTTCTCTTGTTATACACACCTCTTGATCCCTTGCACATGAACCATGATATGCACATGTAAATGCTAGAACAATGCAATGAAAACATAAGCCAAGTAAAGAAAAGGTTGGACAAATTTTGGGGTACAACACATATCATATCATGTCATTTCATATCATATCATTTCATATCATATCATATCATGTGCATCTTGTGGTATCTTAGGGCCAAAAATTATGCATGTTTGTATTTAAGTCTCTCTTATCGCGCCGAGACGAAGATTTCAATCTCTATATCTCTGGATAGAAGAAACTTAAATATGAGCATCTGTCATATCCTAATTTTTGACCCTAAGATTTTGTTTTGCATCATCTACATAGCATATCATGCACTTCATCTTGCATAGTGTCTGAAATGTCTGTCAGAATAAGTTTGTTGGATTTACAGACAAACCGGTCTAAATTTATTTCAAAATTTGACCAAACGCTGTATTTTTCCAATATGTTTATTTCGTGCTGATTATTTTGGTGTGTTCATTTTGTTTTTTCGAGCACTTTTCTGCCCGACTTTTTATTCCGTTTTTAATGTATTTTTATTTCGTTTTATTTCGTTATTTAATTTATTTAGACTTAATTAGATATTTAATGTGAATTTTTATTTTTAATTTGTTTATTAATATTTTTTTTTAAAAGATAAAAACATAATTTTTAATTCTTTTTATTCTTGTCTTATCATAAAAAACACAAAAACATGATTTTTAATTCATTTTATTCTTGTTTTGTCATAAAAAACACAAAAACATGATTTTTAATTCATTTTATTCTTGTCTTATTATAAAAAAAACAAAAAAACGTTGTTATTATCATTCTTGTCTATTTTTTAGTCCTATATATATATATATATATATATATATATATATATATATATATATATATATATATATATATATATATATATATATATATATATATATATATATATATATATATATATATATATATATATATATATATATATATATATATATATATATATATATGCATTAGAAAAAACAAGCAATCACGCAAAAAAGAAAAAAAAACATCCATACATCATCTTTCTCACACCCAAACTGCAAAGTTTTTCATAAACCACGACGTGGCATCGAGAGAAAGAGACAGAGAGGACAGCGACCCAAGAGAAAAGGCCATTTGAGAGAGGTAAAATTGAAAACTCACCATTTATTTTGAAAAGCTGATGTTGTGTTGTATTTATGTTAATTTTATATTTGTCTTTGTAGTATTGTTTATAATGTCATGTTGCAGTGTTTTGCGTATATTTGTTAATGTAGTTTTATTAAGTTTGTAATTTAAGTATGCATCATGTCATTTAACTAGTCTATGTTTGTTCATAAATTAAGCTATAATATTTTGTGTTAAATTTTTAATTGCTTATGTGTTACTAATGTGTGTTATTTGAGTTTATGACTTGTTTGTTGCTATGCAAATTTTGTATTTGTTGTTTGGACATTACATATTTGTTTCCTGTGCGTAAATCTATTTGTATTTGCAGTTTTTTTTATTTGCATTTACGTGCTAATTGTTTTAATTGTACCAATGTGAATAATTCATTTAATTTTTTAGACTTCATTAGTTTATCTTTTAAAATAAATAGTGCTAAGTTGTTGTCCTTTAGACTCTCATGTTTCCTTTCATTTGTAGCAAGTGTGTGAATGGTTAAAGTGCATGTGTATATCAATTAACAACATATCAAGTGATAATAAGAAAAGTATTTGTACAAACATTTTGAATATATTTATGTTGTATTACATGGTATGATTGCTCAAATATTGATTCTTTTTTTTTTTTAATAATATTTTATTTTCCTTCTTTTCTTTTTTAATTGATTTTTCATAATCTAAAAAATTAAAAATATTTTTCTTACGTATTTGTTAATTGTTACATTTTGAAATTATTTTCTCTAATTAGTTTCTCTTTAATTTAATTCATATAATATTTCAAAATTACCAAAAATATTTTAATTATTTATTTTCGTTTTTTAGTTTTTTAGTTATTTGTTGAATATTAAAAAAATATATAAAAATATGTTGTAATTATTAGTTAGTATAAATATTAATATTTATACTAACTAATAATTTCTTGTTACACGTCCAAAGGAAGGATCTTGTTCTTAACTTTATAATCATGAACATCTTATTCATTTGCATCTTTTCCCTCTGCTTGATCCCTGATTCCTTTCAGGTTGATCAGCTTAAGAGACACCCTCATATCCTCAGACTAGATTCCCTTAGATTTTCAACTTAGACAACTTATAAATTAAATCTTCTATTCTCACAAGAGAATAAGACATGATTCATCTATATAGTCGAGATATAATTCTCCTACCCCATAACATAATCGAGAAAGATGTCGATTCTTTTCCACTTGAGAGAGGTATGTGCCATATTCGTCGATTCTATATCCGAGTTAGAGCCCTTCTCTCAATGTGAAGCAAAGATCCATCTTCCACATGTTTGTGATGGTTTAGTTGAGTATTCTCCTTAAGATGACAATTTGTCTCTTCTCCTAAAACTAATCAATAAACATTGTTTTCACCCTTTAAGGGGAACTACGAATGTTCTGATTCCACTCCTGTGAGGATATATAGGCACGAGATGCGATGTCTTGGCGATCATACTTAGGAATAACACCTTAGGTCTCCTTTTTCTTTTGACCCTTTAGAAGACAAAATAACAAATAACACAATAAAATAAGAGGTTCCAGTAGAGTACTATAGATACTTAGGATGCTAACACCTTCCCTATGTATAACCAACCCTCGAACCTTAGATCTCCTGCATTGTTTTTACAGTGCAATTAGGGTTTTCTTCGATATTTACACTTTTCTTTGGATAAATCAAAGCTAGGTGGTGAACTTCAAGATTTGCGATTCAAGTTAATCCAATAGTCTAACATCTGATTCTCACCGCGACAGAAGTGGACGAACTTTACTTTAAATTTCAACTTCTTTTGCTTCATTTAATGTGATAAAATATAAGAATGGTGTTTTGGTGTTGAAAAGTTAATTGAGAAAAAAAAATACGAAACCAACATAATTAAGGACAAGAACATGTAAGGTGGTGTTTTATCTAATTTTGAATGACAAAAACATGCAAAGTGGTGTTTAATCTAATTTTCTGCTTGACATTTTCGGAGATTTATCTTCGAAATAACCCATGTACTCATTTATAGTGTTTTTATTCACTGAGCTGATTTATTTAACAAGTCAGTGATGTTTCCAGAGTTGCATCTTCGGATACACCCTACAAAATATGCGGGTGTATATCTCCAAATGAATTTTGATCAAAATGGAAAGACTATAAAAAAAAAACGAAGACTAGCGTTTTTCGAATACGTTCGAAGATGAATATCCAAAAAAACTAAAATTCTTTTTCAAAAGTGCGAAGTGCACTGTATAACATAGAAAGAGGCATCTTAGCTCTTATATGACCGTAGTCCATTTCATTATGGACTTATAAGGCCCAATACCCAAATTAAGTTACCTCACTATCTGTCCAAATTAAGCAGAAGTCACTTTTAATCAAAATTCTAAATTAAGTTGCCGCTGAGATCATGCATTGAGTTAAAAGTAAATGAAGGGCAATAAACTAGGAGCAACTGGGGACCTTGAGGCTTGGATTTTGGTCCTCGTGACTTGATATATATTTATGTTAATGTCTTTTCCTTTTCTGGTGCGTGTCCTTTGCTTTTACCATTCTTAAAATTTGAGAAGTTGGGTAAGGATCCTATCCTTCTAAGCAAAGACACATGAGTAGATATGATATTTCTGATTGAACTGAATCATAAATATTTTTGGGCACATGAGAGACAAAAGACGACTCTAATAAATTTTAGATTTGAAAATGTCTGTCCACTCCCCTCCTCTACACCGCATACTTAGGAGCTATGTATTCATCATTCTGTGGGTTACTTATCACTGTCTTAATCAATACTCTCTTATTCTGTCCCCAATGCTTACTTTATCATGGTCCTCTATATATCCCACCCCTCTCCCCTCTCCATGTTCTTTGTTTTCATTCTGCTTCATACAATTCAATGGATAAGGCCAAGGTTCTAAAAATCCGTGGCAACAAAACGGTATCGCAATCAGTATTGTAACACTTGAACTAATCGAAATTGCGAAAGTCTTTACACGACTGTAACACAAAAGTGATTTTTTTATCAAGTAGTTTAATGACTGATCGAACTCATATCTCTATATCTGATATCTTTACACAACTACCAACTATGTGTCTTAATAAAACAAACGTGAAAGTGATTTAATTAATTTGAAAGAAGATAATTGAAATAAGCATGTATTAATTAATATGATTTTATTCATGTTATGGAGTAGTATAAAGACACTTAACATATAGGCTATGTACTTGTAGAAAAAAAAAATCTTGATAAGAGGCATTTGGATACTGTCATAGATTTTGTGGTCTACTGCATCTCGATCTTTAGATTGCTAGCTTCAACTAGACCTGCATACATGCCAAACAAGACTTTAGAATTTATAAAAAAAATTGGTTTGCAATATAAATATTTCCATATCTAGTAGAATATCTCTCACTTTCTATCTTGCTTTTCTATCTCTTAATTTGTTATACAATTCACACATCCCATGAGACTCTATCATTTTTCTTGATTTTAAGTGGTCTCTAAAAATGTGAGATTGCGAAATGTCAACCAGAAACAAGCTAGTCATAAGTTGTAATCAACTTTAGCTTAAGAAAAGGATTGATGCTATTGGTGGTCCTCAAAGCTCAACCTTTTAATCAAGTTGCAGGTAAATTAAAATTGCAAAAAGCTCCAAATAAATGTTATCACTTAATCCATACAACTTAAAGGATTAATTTTCATGATAATAGCTTACTACTAAAATAATCTTTTGCCTCTCTTAACACTGACAATTTAGATTACAGGTTGTTTAATGTCTGCCATGTATTAGTGTCTGACAAAGATACGACCCTGACAAATATAATTTGTATTTGATTTTATTGTTTTTATTGTGAGTAAAATAAAGTAGTGGGAAAGTGGAAAGACCAAAAAAGACAGCTATACAATTGAATGATTAATCAGATCCATTTTAACAAATTCCATTATTGAAAAACAAAAGGAACTGGATATTTATATGTTTGATCAAAATCAATGGGATGTAAAGTCTCTATCATCTATTAAATCCACTCTCTTTTGCCTCACTTTCTACTTTAAAGATACAAAGCCAATTAAAAAGTGAATCCATGACTTTACAATATTTTTTAGTTACCTGTGTAAAACTGAGGTTGGGAAGGAAAAGAGGTTGCTCTTGCTTGATCAAAATTCATGTTGTAAAGGTTTTGGAAATCACCTTCCCATGTTGTAGATGGTAGAATTTGCTGCAACAAACACAAACAAGAAAAAAAATTAATAAAACTAGCCAATATTACAACGAAAACAGTAATCAAAGTTTTAAACATTACGATATTGATTGCGGTCGTCGCTGCTGTGTGAATTAACCACAATTTCTTTTTCATCATAAAAACAGTGAATACGGGTATCAGGCAGCCGTTTTTGTGATATCAGACCGATTTTTAAAACTTTGACTGTAATAGAACAATAAATTAACATAGAGAGAGTGTGAACCTACAGGGAAAGAAGAAGAATCAATAAAAGTCTCAGGAATGGATACAGGGGCACTTATGCTTCTTTTTAGCCCCATATCTATAGGGTTCATTCCAATATCTAATCCACCATAAGAAACAAATTGATGTGGTGAATTGAACTGAAGATAAGGATTGTTATTATTCAATTCGGATGAAATTCCTATGGCTTGAAAAGTTGCATTTACATCACAAGTTGGAAACATCTGTGTAGAAATCAAATCAAACAGAAGAGTATATTAATAACAGAGATTTCAAATTAAGTTCATAGTCATAGATAATGTAAAAAAGTGATAGAAATCCTTTCTTACTATACCTCTTTTTCAAACAAATCATCAATATTGAAATCAAGCCTTGGATTAACAGTAGCTAATTTCATTGACAAAAACTGCAAACAAAATTAATATAAATAAATTTGTTATAGAAGGATCAATAATCAATGTTAATAGGCAAACTAAGAATTAATAACTAATTAACTCTTAATAATTACCTCAACTTCTCTTTGAAGAGATTGAACATAATTGATAATTTCATCCAGCATTCCAGCTTTTCCTGTAATTTTGTTGCATCCTGGTACTAAATCTTGCAAATACTTCATTCTTTCACTGATCTTTTCCCTTCTAACCTGCATCAAAATTTATTTTACTCAATGACATATATATATATTGTACAGAAATAGCAGGCAAACGGACAACAAATAAACTACACGGGTAAATCTTTTCCAAAAACTAAAATGAGTACTCACTCTTTCGGCTAAGCTATGGCTATCGGTGGCTTGGCCGCGACGCGCTCGAACATGAATGTAGTCAAGTTTTTGAGGCTCGGAAGCTTTTGAATTTCCCTTTGAGTTTGAACTACCTTCTCCTGCATAGTTTTCTTTGTTATTCTTGTTGCTATTTATATTCTTTTTGGTGCTAGGGTACCCTGTGATTTTCGATTCACCATCTTCAGCACCTAGCTTAATCCTCTTTTCTTTGTTCTCAATTTCATCAACAACCTAAACAACAAGGAACAAATTAAATAAAATTTCTTTAGTAATTTGAACCAATTTTATTGAAGATCAAATTCAATGATATTGTTACACTTACACACCTTGAGCTTATGATTATGATGTGCCTTTTCAGATTTCCTCTTCTTAGAACAATTCTCTTTCTCGATTGTAGCATCAATGAGAACAGGTGGAGAGCTGAAGGTTCTTGAAATTGCAGATGGAATTTGAAGAGGCACTAAATCTTGAGAATTCTGAACTTGTTGAACAGAAGAACAAAACACAGCACTGTTGAAGTAACCTTGACCTTGCTGTTGTTGTTGATATTGTTGCCACTTGATCGTTTCGCTTTGTCTTTCCTGCACTGTTATGTCAGATGAACAACTCTCAGTAGGTAAATTCCCAGAAGCATTCAAACAGTGCAACATGTTGAATTAAGCTGTTTTTATATTTGATTATTGATTAGTGTTAGTGTATTGAGGTCAATTTTGTTGTTGAAAGAGAAGATGAAATATATGTAGTGCAGAAAAATGGGAGTAGGAGGAGAAGGTGATGATAGAGTGTAAGCTATTTAAGGTTGAAATGGGAGAATTGGTGGGGCATATATAAAGGCGTATTTATAGTAAACAAATTCTTGTTTTTATATATAAACCAGTAACCTTATCAAGCACTCTAAAGATTAATCTTCTTTCCATTCGTAGAGGATTATAATAATGAATTTCTTTACTTAACAATGTTATTTCTTCTAAATCAATAAATATAACGTTTAAAAAAATTGTTGTCATTTTTTTAATTATTAATATCGGTCTCCTGAATTCTTTATCTTTTTGACCTAGTTGTGAAAAAATAAACTGTAGTTTTCTCTATAAGTTCAATATTAATCACCGTTGAACTAACTAATTGACAATTGTGTTATCATTTTTGGTTGGAGCATTTTATTGGCAATTTAGTATAAACTTCATTATATTTATATTAATGATTTAGAGAAATAATATGAAAAGGAATTATTAAAGACAGAAAGAAGTGGTGGAAATTATTAAGAGAGAGAAAAAAAGATTAGATTAGAAGCTGAGATGATAGTTGATAGAAGAGTGATGTGTTCCTATAACGAGTCTGTGGGCTATGGGCCCCGTTTGATATGACTGCCACGTGGGACTGTTTTCAATTGCGGCAAAACGGAAACGCCTTAAACCCCGTAATCATTTCACTAATCAACATCATCAAGATTCAGTCTTCTCTTACTAATCATAATTAGTCTAATTAATTGCGTTGTTAATTTTAAAAAGAAAAAAGGAATGGGTAGTTATGGGGCCCGGTGAATATGACCGGAACTTGGTCCAACTTACGTCTTCACTCACGTGGGATTCGTCCACGTGGCAACTCTCTATGCAATAGAACTGACATGTAAGATAATGATGTGTCATGTGACGTGGACAAATGCAGAATCAGTTATCAGAAAGATACGTGGCGCGTTGCCTACACCGCTTTCAAAGAGTGAACGTGAAACTGACGCGCGGGGATGTATGGTATGGTGCCTTGATGATTAGCGGCTAGAGGGATATTCTTAAACTCTTGCTAGGCCGTTCCAATTTTGGTAGTTTCCTTTCTCTCTTATTTGCTTTGCATTTGGATTCCTAGGGATAGGTTCTTGCAGTATATAAATTCTAAATTATTTCTCTGTGGGTATAGGAATCAATTGAGTATTGTTTTATTTTATTTTTATGAATACTAAAACAACTAAAAACAATTTTTTATTTTTTATTTTATAATTTTTCTTTTATACTATATTTAGTTAACAAATTATTAATTTTTTTTCTTCATATATTTCTTTTAAAGATCTTGTTAATTTGGATGGGTGGGGTAATACTGAGTTAAATATAAAGTAATAATATATATTGCTTTAAGATTCAATTATTACTAATAGCATTTATTTGTATTTATGTATTAATATAAATAAATTATTAATTTATAAAATCAATAACTATATTTAATATTATGTATAATGAGAACTTTAAAATGATCAAATTATTATAATAAAGATTATTGACACAATGAATCAATTAACTTAATGGTATTTTTGTTGAAAGTGTATTTCTTTGTGTCAAAGCACAATTATGATAGAGTATATTGTTGTCGAAATGTTCTGTGCAGAATCTGTATAGCTATCAAAATGTTGAAGAAATACATCTCGACATAAATTTAGGCTTTGCTTTATTATGTGTTTTTAGTTGAGTTAGGTTAGTTGAAGATTGTTTTGTGTTCAAACAATCTTAACATATAAATAGGGAGGTCCCCTATCATTGTAATAAGTAGTTGCATAGACAAAAGTTGAATAAAAGTTTCAGTTTGAAGGCAGAAGAAAAAAATTCTGCATAAATATTCTTCTTTTTCCTCTTTTCTCCAAAATCCAAATGTCTCTTTTCTTCCCCATCTTTTCTTTTCTTCTTCAATTATCGTTGTATAGAGGAAGCATCTTACAACCAAGACGTGACTGATTCACTTGAGTGAAGAGTAAAGAACAAGAGGCAAAATTAATCGGTGTGATTAATTCTTCTTGTTCATCAAAATTGATTCAGAATTCTTCATAGGTTTGATGTAATTCCAACATCTGGTATCTAGAGCATTGACTATGTGATTCTTGGGAAACATAGTGCAATGAATCATACGAATGAGCATTTTTCAACGAGCTTCTCAATTCTGAAGAATCAAAATTACGAGAATTGCTACAAGTAGATAAAGATTATTTTCTGCTATCAAGATCTTTTGGATCTTGTGAAGGAGGGAGTGATGTCGCTTATAGAAAACACGACGGATGAAGAAAAGGTTGCACACAAAGAATTGAAGAAGAAATATTATAAAGCTCTCTTTATAATTCATTAATGTGTTGATCCAGATAATTTCGAAAATGTCGGTGATGTAGAAACGACAAAAGAAGCATGGGAAATCTTGGAGAAATCGTTTGGAGGCACTGAAAAGGTGAAAGAGGTGAGATTACAAACTCACAAAAGAACATATGAATTGCTTCAGATGGAAGAAAGTTAAAGCATAATTGATTTCTTCACCAAGGTTATGAAACTAGTGAATCAAATCAAGAAATATGGAGAAGCGTTGACATCAAGACCAATCGTAGCAAAGATCTTAAGGTCATTGGCTTCAAAGTTCGACCACGTGGTAGTATCCATAAAAGATTCAAAATATTTGTTAACAATGACAAAGGAAGGTCTTCAAGGAACGCTTGAATCTCATGAACAAAGAATGACTGAAAGAGCTGCAAGTAAGTCGAAGAGTAATGTGGCTTTGCAAGTGCAATCAATAAAAGAAAAGAAAGGCAAAGGGAAGTGGTTCGACAACAAAGGTAGATAAGGCTACAAAAATTCGACTGGTAGAGGAAATCAAAAAGAAGGAAATGCGTGGAACCAAAGAAAATCTTCATACCAAAGTAACCACAGAAGTGGTGGTGCTAGTAGAGGAAGAGGTGGTGCAAGAAAACCTGATAAAAGTCACATTCAATGTTTCAATTGTGAGAGGTATGGCCATTATTCTAGTGATTGTCTTGAAAAATAAAAGAATGAAGAATATGATGCAAAGTTTGTAAAACACAAAGAAGAAGAAGAAGAAGAAGAAGAAGAAGAGATGTTGCCGATGGTCACGACAAAAAATGAAGAAATCTTAAAGGACCAATGGTACTTGGACTCAGGATGCTCATCACACATTTCTAGAAGGTAAGATTGGTTTGTCAACATAAAACCCTCAATGAAGAACATGGTGAAATTTGCAAATGACAATACCCTAGTAGCTGAAGGTATTAGGGATGTTCTGATTATGAGGAAATATGAAAAAAGGTCAGTAATTTCTAATGTATTGTATATACTAGGCATGAAAAGTAATTTGCTCAACATAGTGCAATTAGTCGAAAAGAAATATAAAGTCTCGATTAATAGAATCTTCAAGATTGAACTTAACGTGATGAAGCATAATTTCCTTGCAACTGTAGCTAGCAGGAATGAATGAATATGACACTATAGACTTGGCCATCTCAATTTCAAAGACATCAGAGATATGAAAAGAAGAAGTATGGTTTCAGGATTACCAGAAATCGACATTCCAAATGAAGTATGTGAAGAATGTGTGCAAGAAAAGTAACACAAGAATAACTTCAACAAGGATGCATGAAGCATATCGAAGATAAATCTTGAAATCATATACTCTGATGTATGTGGTTCTATCCAGGTGGATTCAATTGGAGGTAACATATATTTTGTCACATTCCTAGATGATTTGTTAAAAACTATGGACTTACCTGATCAAGAAGAAAAGTGAAGTGATCAAAGTATTTGCCAAGTTTAAATCTATGGTCGAAAGGCAAAGTGGTTGAAAGCTTAAGATTCTGAGGACTGGTGGTGGTGGAGAATATGTTTTGAAAGAATTCAATACATTATGTGAGAAAAAAGGGAACTTCAGAAAGGAAGAACATAACCATTATGAACATGGTTAGAAGTATGTTGAAAGATAAGCATTTACTCAAAGAATTATCAGGAGAAGTTGTGTCAACTGCCAGATACATACTAAGCAGATCTTCAACGAAGAAGCTAGAAGGAATTACACCAGATGAATGTTGGTCTGGTGCCAAGACTAGCTTACGTCATCTGAAGGTATTTGGATCTATAGTATATAGACACGTGTCTAATCATTTGAGAATAAAACTTGATGACAAGTCAAGTCAAATTATCCTAATAGGATATCATTTGACTAGAGAATTGTTAAGTGCAAATTTTGACTTAAATTGAACCATCTTTCTTTGCATTTTTCAACTCATTTCTCATGTTTTTATAGATCTAATTCTTGTTCTTGTGTGATTCTTCAATATATTGCAAATACCTTTGGATTCCTTGATGTGTGTGTTATTGTGCAGAATATAGGCATAAAACATAAATGATTAAGACACATAGGAATGGACAAGAAAGCCAAAGAAAAAAAGAGGAATCAACGTGTTCGTTGTGCAAACACCAGTGAGGTAAAAACGAATGCTCACTGTGCGAGGTCCTGACGAAACCCCAGCGAACCAGCCCAGATTAGAGGCAGTAGGAAAAGGATCCAAAGTTCGCTGGGCAAATCCTTAGCGAAGCAGTTTACTGCGCGAAGAAGTGCTCGCAAGGCGAACTCAGATTTTTTCCAATGGCGGTTTAACTATTCCTGAGGCACTTGAAGTGTCCAAAAGTGGTCTTCGCTGGGCGAAAAAGGTGTTCACTAGGTGAACAAGAAATTTTTTGTAAATACTATTAAGTACTTTTCTTACTTTTTAGAAACATAACTTGTACATTTTTAGAATAGAACTTCATCTCTCTTTATTTTAAAACATATTCTAGAGAGAGAAACAGAAACCCTAAAGGGGAGAAGGTATGAGCTTTGATCTCTTGTTGGGTTTGGA